CAGCAAACATTTAGGGATCAAACCAGAGCATCTATAATACATTTGATAAAATTCAAAATACATATTTAGAAAAAACAATAGTCATAGCAGTTAGATAGTTAATGGTTCTTTCCTGTTTCAAAGCTCTTTCTCTTTTCCAGAGCTGTTTAAATACAACAAACAAACATTATGCAACAATTGTGGTTAGATATGGTTAAGAAATATATACAAACTCAGGAAAATAGCAAATCAGCAATAAGAAAGTGTTTCTCCAACTAGCTTCACAATTTCCACTCCTTTCTTACTGATCCCAAACAAGGAAGGTAAAAGTAAAGGTTGTCTGTCCCCTGATGCTAAGTCCAGTCGTATCCAACTCTGGGGGGTTGGTGCTCATCTCCATTTCTAAGCCGAAGAGCTGGCGTTGTCTGTAGACACCTCCAAGGTCATGTAGCCGGTATGACTGCATAGAGCACCGTTACCTTCCGCCGGAGTGGTACCTATTGATCTACTCATATTTGCATGTTTTCGAACTGCTAGGTTGGCAGAAGCTGGGGCTGACAGTGGAAGCTCACGCCACTCCCCGAATTCAAACCTGCGGCCTTTCGGTCAACAAGCTCAGCAACTCAATGGTTTAACCCACCGCATCAATGGGGGCTCCAAAATATTGCCCAAACAAGGAAACAAGGAAACGTGTATGGAATCGAAACATGAAAGGCAAAGGGAGATTAAAAGGTCAACTGAAGCAGCTAGTTTTCAGGAATATTGTATTACTATTATGAAAATGATCAATAAATATGTTTTCTAAGGCTTAGCAGAACAAGCAAGTCAGTTCTATTTTGGCACCTGTGGTCAAAACACAAATGCATTTTCATATTTATTTTAAATGCCTCAGGAAATAGATTTCTAATGGTGTTGTATGCAGTGAAATTTAAATGAAATGCTAACAAATGACTAATAAAATACATTTACCACTCAAATATCCGACTTTCTCTCTGAGTAGCTGAAGGGAGCTCTTAGTTCTTTTCACCACCAACTTTACAAAAACCTTCTGAAGTTGAAAATAGTAAATAGTAAAGGAATAATCCTTAATTGAGAGTTTTGTGCCGTTTTTTTTTTCTGGTATTTGAATGTCCAGAATTATTGTGGAGGAATTATGCTACAGAGAAAAATGTCTGTTTTGGGGAGAGGGGGAATACAAACTTATTTTCAAAACAGAAAATGGGTTTTCAGTACACAAAATGCTTTCTGTGCACAATGAGTCATGTGGTTTTCTCCACAGAATGATTCCTCTACAATTTTTGGAAGGCAAAGAGAATACTGGGTTGCTGTGAGTTTTCTAGGCTGTATGGCCATGTTGCAGAAGCATTCTCTCCTGACATTTCATCCTCAGAGGTTGAGAGGTTTCCTCCATAGATGAGCGTGAAACATCAGGAGAGAATGCCTCTGGAACATGGCCACAGCCTGGAAAACTCACAGCAGCTCAGTGATTCCATGAAAGCCTCTGACAACACAAAAAGAATACGGTGGAGAGAAAAACTATTGTAATTATTTGTCCTGACATGCAAGGAAGAAATAATCTGGGATTTATGGCCCTTGCAAGTACAGTGTGCCAAAGACCTAATCCAACAGAAATGTTCTAAAAAGGGCTGCTAAAATCCTTCAGGTGAATTGTTAGCTGAAGTTCTTATTGCAAAAGCTTGAAAAAGAGTAAATACTACAAGCATATCTGCTGTGAAGCCAGGTAGATTGTAATGTTAAAAGCTTACTTCACACAAAAATAGCCTGAGATCAATACATATACAGAACAATATGTCAGGTCGTGAAAGGTTTTGGCTGAGGGATGAGAATGGATATATGCTTCTACTTGTGCACTTCTCTTGTGAATGCCACATGGCAAGGGGTTGGACTATGATCTCTTCCAACTCAATGGTTCCATTTGTTTTCTTTCTCTGTAAGAAGCAAACCTTTGGAAATTGGTGGTTTTTTAAAGGCCAGTAAAAGTTTCCCCAAACTTTTGCAGAATAAAGATTTGCATATGAACAGTAGTTATTTGGCATTTAAAAGTTCTTCTGTAAGACCAGGTCCTTTGGGCAGTTGAAAGACACAATACAAGTTTGTTTTATCATGTCTGAAGCAACTTGAGAATATACTGCAAGTTGCTTTTGATGTGAGAGAATTGGCCGTCTGCAAGGACATTGCCCAACTGCCAACTTTCAGGTCTTCAGATCAGCAGTTCAGTCAGCACAAGGGTTTAACCCATTGCACCACCATGCCTCCTTAACAATACAAGTGATTTATTATTTATTTATTTATTTATTTATTTATTTATTTATTTATGTCACTTTTATCCCACCCATATCAGTTTGAAGGCGACTCAGAAATTAAGAAATCAAAGCGGTCTCCAAAAACCTTCAGAAAACACAGTATTGTGTATTGGTCATGGGGGTTTTGTGTGGGAAGTTTGACCCAATTCTATCGTTGGTGGGGTTCAGAATGCTCTTTGAGTGTAGGTGAACTATAAATCCCAGCAACTACAACTCCCAAATGTAAAGGTCTATTTTCCCCAAACTCCACCAGTGTTCACATTTGGGGACACTGAGGATTCTTGCCAAGTTTGGTCCTGATCCATCATTGTTTGAGTCCACAGTGTCCTCTGGATGTAGGTAAACTACAACTTCAAAAATCAAGGTCAATGCCCACAAAACCCTTGCAGTATCATGGGAGTTCTGTGTGCCAAGTTTGGTTAATTCCATCGTTGGTGGAGTTCAGAACGCTCTTTGATTGCAGGTTAACTATAAATCGCAGCAACTACAATTCCCAAATGACAAAATCACCCCCTCCCTCCCCCCGGAACCTCACCAGTATTTAAATTTGGGTGTATCGGGTATTTGTGCCAAATTTGGTCCAGTGACTGAAAATACATCCTGCATATCAGATATTTACATTACGATTCACAACAGTAGCAAATTGCAGCTATGAAGTAGCAACGAAAATAATGTTACGGTGTGACATTATTGGTCAGCCAGAATGCACAAAACACTTCATGCGTGCTTTTGAAGCTCTGTTGGTTTCCTCTTCAACTCACAAAATATATTTTAAAAAATCATGCAGAAGAAATGAAAAGTGATTCTTCTAGGAGTCCCCATTGAGTCAAAGATCTACATTTTGTATCAGATGTTTTTTCTGTTGTTGTTCAGTTGGTTAGGAGGGATCTCAAGGCAGGCAGAGGTCAATTCATTTTGGTCATATGAGGACTGAGACATGAACAAGGTTCTCACTGAATATTAAGCTTTTGAACCAGTTGGAATATCTGTCTGCCCAAGTGCCTTGAAGGTATGTCTCTCCATCACATTTCTTCTGAATTCTCTCTTTACGAATGCTAATTGCTGCGGGACAAGATTTAGAAGTGATCAGCAGCTATTTAGTATTCAAAAGTACAGCTTCTATGTCTCTATCTCACCAACATTTGGAAATGACCAATGGCCTTGTGGGGTAAGAGACTCTGGGAAATGTAGTTCATTCCCTACCCCCCCCCCCAATACTTCTAAAGTTCAGATTGCCTCCTTATTCATTATGCTAATTTCCCCCTACTTCTAGCCCTTTTCTGGAGCCACAGTAGCACAGCAAATTAAATCTGCAGGACGGGATGAGCTCCTATGGATAGCCCCAGCTTCTGCGAACCTAACAGATTGTAAACATGGAAAATGTGAGATCAATAGGTACTGCTCCGGCGGGAAGATAATGGCACGCCAGCCACATGACCTTGGAGGTGTCTACGGACAACGCCGGCTCTTCAGCTTAGAAATGGAGATGCATACCATCCCACAGAGTCGGATACCACTAGATTTAATGTCAAGGGGAAACCTTTACCTTTACCTTTTAGCCCTTTCCTAAGACCAACTTTGTCCACAAAATTTTTTCCAAACTCTCCTAACCATACCAGACCCTCCCTTTACTCCATCTTCACCACACTTTCCAATCGACACCTTCCTCTCTCTTTTTCTGCCTTTCCATCCAGTGTATGTTGTGTTCCTACTCAGCAAGAGCAATTTTCTCTAGTCTGTTTAAGACTCAGTTTAGTGTAATTGCAAAATCAATATTAACTAGCTGGGAGCTCTAATGATGGCAAAAATCTATCCCCACCTACTGCTCCCTGCTGCAGCTCAATGTACAGATGATTAATTCAATTTGTTTTCCATTATGTAATAGCTAGTTTTTATACAATCTTTCTGGCTGCACAAATGTTTACAGTGTCAGCAGTGACCCTGCTGCAGCATCTAGAGCAGGCATGGACCAACTTGGGCCCTCCAAGTGTTTTGGACTTCAACTCCTACCATTCCTAACAGCCTCAGGCCCTTCCTTTTCCTCCTCAGCTGAGGATGAAAGGGAAAAGGAAAGTCTAAAACACCTGGAGGGCCCAAGTTTGCCCATACCTGGTGTAGACCCATATAATGAAGTTCAATGCAATTAATGCATTATGTGGAAGTGTAGATCAGTCCCAATTAATGTGAGATGTGATGCTAAAGGAGAATTCTGCCAATATCATAAGACCATAGATACCCTATTAGGGAATAATTAGCTCAATTGTTAATCAAGGTGAAGACTGCAGTCAACAAATTGGAAGATTAGGTCTTATTTTCTGATACAGAACATATGCCATTCAGTAGTTGCCATATGGTTGCCCACAGAAAACTATACTTAATAAGCCTCAGCAGGGGTTTCACGAGATCAGTCGTACTGATTGCAACAAGGTAGTGACAGTGAGGCTGAGGACCATATTTTAGTTCTTGCGGACCACTTGTGGTCCATAGACCACAGGTTGGAAATCACTGGTCTAGAGTTTGTTGTCAGAGTGCCTTACAATATAGTGGGAGTATTCCAAAACCACAGCAACATTTTATTAGGAGTCCCCAATTGTTTTTTCTACTTTTCAGTAAATAATGATGATGATGATGATGATGATGATGATGATGATGATGATGTTCAATCCCAGGAGACAGTATGGTGGGAGTATTCCAAAACTACAACAATGTTTTATTAGGAGTCCCCAGTTGTTTTTTCTCCTTTTCAGTAAATAATAATAATGATGTTCAATCCCAGGCGACAGCAGAATTGACGATAAGCAACTGGAAAAGCTTACATGATACGAGGATTTAAAGCTTGAACTGCAAAGACTCTGGCACAAGCCAGTCAAGGGGGTCCCTGTGGGGATCGGCACACTGGGCACAGTGCCTCCGGACCTTGACCTTCACTTGAAAACAATCAGCACTGGCAAAATCACCACCTGTCAGTTGTAAAAGGTCACCCTACAAAAGCCACCAGAGTGATCTTGTTTGCTGTGTACTAATCTTGTTAGGTATCAAATGATGATGATGATGATGATGATGATGATGATGATGATAATACACATTATTTGCTAATATATCACACAGTCCTAGACACTTGGGAAGTGTCCAATGCGTGATCCAATATAACAGCCAGCATAGTGACCTTGTTTGCTGTGTACTAATCTTGTTGTGTTTCAAATAATAATGATAATAATAATAATACTAATAATAATGTTGTCATAATCTAATTTCCAAAATTAGAACTCAAATGGCTCACAATTTAGAAGAACAATACATTTTTAAAAGGGGGAAAATAGATGATTTCAGAATGTAGACATTCACTCTCTGCTGCAATTACACGGCAAAATGAACATTTCTCCACTCACTATTTCCAACCTGCTGACATTTCCCCACCCTCCCTCTCCCCATAATATGTTATGACAAATTCATACAGTGCCACCAGCCCAATTTGCCCCCCTCAAAATATTTTTTACAGTATTTACAAGATAAAAAGCTTACAAGATTACAAACTCTTGACAAGATAAAAATGTAGGCTCTTGAGTGGCAGGTTCTTGGTACCTTGTTCTTATCATGTTAGATAGGGGCAGAGTCAACACGTTCACCCACAACCACTTCTGTTCACACACACACACACACACACACACACACACACATATTGACCCTTCATATCAGCAGCAGTATGTGGCACCTATTTAGAAATTTCATTTATAAGTAAATAATAAATTATCTGTAGTTTCTGGGGTCATATCTGTAAGAAGAGGACATAACTGGAACTGTGAAAATAAAAATTCCACTGGAAAAAGGTGACACTCTCATTGAGGAATCATAGGTCATTTGGGTGTCTCAGGAAAGAGCCTATTTCCCATTAGCATGTAGCCTGATGTGGAGGGTACCTGAGTGAAAGGACAAGAAAGCATCCTTTTCCCCATCCCATTAATAGAATCTGATTGAGCGAATGGGATGGCATCCTGCACCACACCTGAGGCATTAGGCTATTTTAAGGGGGTCAATGATAGCCATAAGACATGCATTGTTCTCTGCTTCCCAAGAGAGGAACACCTGGAGATCTTTGAGGATCTACAACCATTGTCTCCATGAATCTGTTGCCTGAGACATTTGCCTTAATAGCAGGGCCTAGTCTGGGAATAGGGTTGTCATGCTCAACAGAAATGTCCATCTATTTATATAATCTGTCATCGATATTTAGAAAGTTACAGTTCTCCTTGTGGTATTGTCACTACCTGTGAGTTCTTATCAGTTGTTCCAGAACCTTCGTCAACCATTAGCCCTCTCTGTTCAGAGATGGCAGTGTCTTGTATCTGATGGGACCATGCTTCAGGAAGAACCTCTTCGGCCTCTTTCAGCAACAGGCCCTGATAACATCTGATGTTTTCCTCATGCAGCTGGGTTACTTCAGTGTTCCCTCCATAAAAGCCAGCAGTATGGTTGACTAAACCATTGGTGACGTTGGCCACGTGGACCTTGTTTCCACCTCTCTTCTTCCTGTTCTTGTCTTGGACAAGGAGGCAGGTGAAGACCTGCTTGAACCGCTTGCGAAAGTGCTTCGAGATCAGAGCATAGACGATGGGGTTGAGGCAGGAATTGGCATAGGACAGGCAATGAGAAGCCAAGCGGCAGGCATAGGTGGCCCGGTTGAAGGGAAAGTAGCCAAACCAAAAGCACAAGATCACTAGGTGATGAGGCAGCCAGCACAGGCAGAAGAGGACAGCCACTGCAATGATCATCTTGGTGACCCTGCGCTTGGCTTTACGAGATTCAGAGATCCTCTCAATGGGGTCTACAGCAGTCCACAGGAATTTAATGGTCCTAGCATAAGCCAGGCTGACCACAACAACAGGGAGGACATAGCCAAATACAAAGGTAAGAATGTCCAAAATCTTGCGGCGCTGATCCTCCCAAATAGGAACACAGATGGGCACCTTTTGATACTGGACTATTTGGAAGTAGCTGAGATATGGTCCTGCAAAAAGCAGTGACAGTGTCCAAATCATGAAAATGGCCAGAGCTGCATTGCGAGAGGTACGGAGATCTCGGGATTTCAGAGGATATCGAATAGCCAAATACCTAGAAACAGGGATACATTGCAACATAAGACATCAAGGTTGTCTGACACATACACTCTGCCAAACATCATTAGTATCTTTTTCTCCCTTCATCATAGCTTTCCTACTGCTTCATTCAAGTCTAGAGTTGGAAATAATATTCTGGTCTTGCCAAACCCAGTTAGGAAGAATAATACAGTGGTGAGAGCTTTGGACAATTTTCATTAAATATTCACACACCCCAAAGAGTTTAAGAAATTGTTCAGCACATAAATATAAGTGGGTTTTGCATAAGAATTGTGGAAATCTGAACACACACATGCACAAACTAGAGTTTAGCATCCTGTTAGCTATGGTGCTGTAAACTGGACTAGGAAGAATAACTGCATCCTATTTGTTAGGGCATGTGAAAAAAACAGTAGGTGAGTGTGTTGACTGAAAATGCAAAGCAAGAAGATGATTGGTTGGGCTACACCCATGAGGCTAGCTGAGCTTGGGAGTTTTGGCAACAATTACATTTTTCGGCTTTAGCTGTGCAGGAGCTAGCAGAAAGACTGTGTTCTTGCTTCATGAGCTGCTGGAAGAAGATCTTCCACATGGACACCTAAAGACCATTTGAATCTCTCTCAAAGGACATTGTGTGAGCCAATGCAACTGTTCACATGATTGTATATATGATGCTCTGCATTACAAAGAGCAAACTCTTTGTTCTTCTCAATCATCTGCCTGGCATATTTTCTTTCTCTGGGAAGACAGTGTGTGGACTGGTAAAAACATGAACTGCATGTGATTTTCATTCCGCCACACTATTCACATTTACAGTCCTGGTACCACTACCACAATCATAAATGCCTTCCAAATTCACATTAAAATCCAAACTGTGGCAACATTTTTTTGTGACCAAAAAGTCCCTGCTTTTGCTTGTTGAATAATATTCCAAAGCTCTTTAGGATTTATGAATAGTGGTCAGTAACTGCACAAAAATATTTGTTTTTCAGCACAGTGAAAAAATTGAACATGAATTGTCCTCAACTGCAAAGACAAAATACTGCATATTCTGAAACACATACTTTTCTAAGTGTCAGGAGCGACTTGAGAAACTGCAAGTCACTCGTGATGTGAGAGAATTGGCTATCTGCAAAGACGTTGCCCAGGGGATGCCTGGATGTTTGATGTTCTACCATCCTTGTGGGAGGCTTCTCTTATGTCCCTGCATGGGGAGCTGGAGCTGTCAGAGGGAGCTCATCTGCACTCTCCCCAAATTCAAACCTCTGACCTCTCTGTCTTTAGTCCTGCCGGCACAAGGGTTTAATCCATTGCACCACCGCAGACTTCTATACCACCTACAGAAAGCTATATAGATGAGAATACCGCATACATTTTGTTAAAGTGCCAAAAAAAGATCCAGGCTTTGGTCTGCCAACAATTTATGGAAATTTGAACTTGGTTTACATAATTCCCATAGGATGGGATATAGAATGGGCTGTTTTCCAAAGTTAGCAGGAGGCATACTGAATGAGGAAACTGATATGCTTGACAATTTTTTAAAAATCCAACCTGAACTAAGAATATGTATGTTTTAACAGGAATATATTAATGCCGCATCGAGGATGTAGAAGGAGCTGCTAATTAGGACAGGCTTACTAAGGTGAAAGGGAAGGGAAAATATGAAAAAAGAATAAAAGTGATAATGTTTCAGAAAATATAAGCAGAGGAAGAAAGAAATACAAAATGTGCCATGGGAGCAGGATGGAGTTAGAAGCAGAAGACAAAAGAGAGGCGGTGGAACAAATCGGAAAATGAGGTGCAAGGACTGCCCTGGCCTTGAAGGGAGAAAAGAGGTAGCCACAGTTCCATCATACATAAGCCCAGCAGTAGATGAAAAGCTCTTTCCCCTGATCCAGCTGCCAATGCCCTGCCTTATCTGTCAGAAAAGAGGCAGGCACAACTCCATCATACATAAGCCCAGCAGCGGATGAAAAGTCCTTCCCCTTGTTCCAGCTGCCACTGCCTTGTCTTCAGTGTGAGAAAAGAGGCAGAGCTTCACCATGCCTAACCGCAGCAGCAGATGAAACGGCCTCCTATCTATCCTAACTGCCACTGCTCTGGGCATGGTGGCCTGTTCCATATGTCTAGGCCTAGCAGACAGTGAAATGTCTCTCTGTCACAACTGCCACTGCCCCGGTCTTGAAGACACAGACCTATCCTGCTGAGGTCCAAAAGCAGAGGAATTATTCTCCTATCCATCCCAATTGCCACTGCCTTGTCCACAGAGGGAGAGAAGAAGAGGCAGTATCTGCTGAACCCTTCCCACACTGCCATCCTCTTTCCTTTTGTATCAAGGCTTAAATAAAGTCTGTCTGCAGCAACTGAAGTCACCCAAGGACAAAGGGGGAAGTGGGAGAAGAGAGAAACTGGGACATTATAAAAGCGGTTGAAAAAGTGGGACTACAGAGAAGTGTTCCCCACCAAATGTGGACAGTAAGAGGAGAAGACTTACCTGTCTACAGAAACAGCTGCCAAGGTAAAACTGCTGGCATACATGGTGAGGTAGATGAAGAAATGTACTGCCTTGCACCCAAAGGCACCAAAGAGCCATCCATCCAAGGTGTAGATGGTGGCCTGGAAAGGGACGCAGAAGAGTATGAAGCAGAGGTCCGCCACAGCCAGGTTGAGGATGAAGAGGTTGGTAGTGTTATATTTCACCTGCCCATTGCGGAGCAGCACAGCAAGCACCAGGCCATTCCCTATAGTGCCCACGAGGAAGATGAGGGAGAAGACCACTGGCACAATGATGCCTGCGGCTCGTGCTTCCAAGCTGTCTGTAGATGCATTCCAGCTGTCTGGCATCTCCCCATTGGAGAGAAGGGGCCTGACAAAATAAGAAGTGGTTACTAGTATTGTTAGGTCAGGATTACCCCAAGATCTAAGATTTCACTTCCAAAACTTGGGTCACTCCATGTGACATCATAGGAGGCAGGCCCTAGTGATGTCACAGGAGGGCATCTCTGGTGATAACATTCAATGTGATGCATTCTTATACACATTATACCATTAAAATAAAACAACACTTGTCTGAATAATAAGGAAAATTACAACTCTTAAGCTTCCATAGCATTGAGCCATGGTGTTAAAGTGATGCACCCACTTCTGCAGGAGTCTACCATATACCATGCAGCTCTGGACAAGTCTACATAGGGACCACCAAACGCAGCATTGCCCAACATGAATCAAGGAACATGAAAGGAACTGATTACTTCAACCAGAGAAGTCAGCCATAGCAGAGCACCTGATGAACCAACCTGGACACAGTATATTATTTGAGAATACAGAAATGTTGGACTACTCTAACAACTACCATGTCAGGCTACACAGAGAAGCCACTGAAATCCACAAGCATGTGGACAATTTCAACAGAAAGGAGGAAACCATGAAAATGAACAAAATCTGGCTACCAGTACTAAAAAAAAAAAAAAAACTCTAAAATTATAACAGTAAATAAACTCAAACCCAAACAAGAAAAAATTAGGAACAGCTAATCACCTCTCAACAAAGGATTCCCCCAGGCAGTAACAAGTCATACCTAAAAGCTGTCAGGCCATCAAATGCTAAGCAAGGTGGCCATTTGAAACATTCAACCTACTTCAAACAGACAAGAGTTCTTTCTCCCACCCTGGACTTTCCACATATATATAAACCCAATTTTCCTAGTTTCCAACAGACCTCACAACCTCTGAGGATGCCTGCCATAGATGCAGGAGAAAAGTTAAGAGAGAATGCAGCCTAAAAAACCTACAACAACCCAGCTCCACAGGCTGTTTGTCTGTTTCTGTACACAATTTGAAGTGCTGGGTGACTTTGGTCTAGGCTATTTGAAGGACCGTATTGCTCTACATGAGCCCATTAGAGCATTACGATCAAATCTCTTTGCCAGCATGGTGGCCATCCTTGCTGGAAGAGTCTGACAACTGTAGTTTCAAAAAACAATAATTCAGTTTTTCTTCCTGATTTATTGTGTTCTGTAAACAGTGATGTACATTGATAATGGCATAGAAATAATGCTGGCTGACTGTCATGTTAAGGAACCTGGATCTATATTCATCAGCCACAGTTCTAACAAGCAAGTGGAAAAATTGCATTCACTCCTGATTTAACAAAACAACGAATTTCTGCCACCATCTGAACAAAACACAACACTAGCTAGGACTGATTATATTCTGAGCATCTAGAAGCACACTGCAGAGAACAGAAGGTACAGAAGTCAGTTCCTGCCTGAGCATCTGTTCTGAACTTGCTGCAACCCTTGGCTTTGGGGAATTTGTTGAAAAATAGTAGGGGAACAACTTCAATGCTAGTAGGAACTATGCCAGCAAGATTCCAAACTTGCTCAAAATCAGGAGGGCAATTTATAAGGTTTAAATGGCCAACAGAGTTCTTTTTTCATGTCACGAGCAACTTGAGAAACTGAAAACTTCTGGTGTGAGAGAATTGTCTGTTTGCAAGGACATTGCCCAGGGGATGCCTGGATGTTTTAGCATCTTGTGGGAGGCTTCTCTCATGTCCTCGCATGAGAAGCTGTAGCTGACAGATGGGAGCTCACCCCACTCCCCAGATTCGAACCTCCAACCTTTCAGTCAGTGGTCCTGCCAGCTCAAGGGTTTAACCCATTGCACCACTGGGGGCTCCTTCTTAATAGTAAAGAACTGAGTCTTTAGTAGAAATAGAACTAGGCCTGAGGCTTCTCTCATGTCCTCGCACGAGAAGTTGGAGCTGACAGATGGGAGCTCCCCTGCTCCCTGGATTCGAACAACCAGCAGGGTTAAAAAGAAGCTGCTGTTCTAATTAAAATAATTGCCTCTGCAATCCATGGTTTTTTGTGCCACATATATAAATGGCACTTTATCAAGCCAGGTAGTAAACATTTATATTCCCCTTTTACCAAATTACCTTGAGTCATATTTTGGGGAAAGAAAGACATATTATAAGACCAGATAAATATATAAGGTGTCATAGCTGTACAAAAAAGCAAAATAGCAATAATGCATGCAGAACGATCAGCAAGGAAAAGTACAATTGAGTGAAATACATTGATTCTATGCCTAGAGCAGCAATTAACAACTTGGGGGTCGGGACCCCTGGAGGCGGGGTAGTGAGGTGGGTGTCAGAGGGGTTGCCAAAGACCATCAGAAAACACAGTATTTTCTGTAGCTCATGAGGGTTCTGTGTGGGAAGTTTGGCCCAATTTTCTGTTAGTCATGGGAGTTCTGTATGCCAAGTTTGGTTCAATTCCATTGTTGGTGGAGTTCAGAATGCTCTTTAATTGTAGGTGAACTATAAATCCCAGCAACTACAACTCCCAAATGACAAAATCAAACTCTCCCAACCCCTCCAGTATTTACATTTGGGCATATTGGGTATTTGTGCCAAATTTTGTCCAGTGAATGAAAATGCATCCTGCATATCAGATATTATGATGCACAACAGCATCAAAATTATGAAGTAGCAACAAAAATAATTTTATGGTTGGAGTCACCACAACATGAGAAACTGTACTAAGGGGTCGCGGCATTAGGAAGGTTGAGAAACACTGGGCTAGAGCAATGGCCAGGAGTCTTTCAATTGCCACGAAGATTTGAGTCATGGCCATATAGCACGAAAAAACCTACAACAACCCAGTGATTCCGGCCATGAAAGCCTTCGACAATACTAGGCAAGTGAGGTTTATATATCTGTGGAATATCCAGGGTGCGAGAAAGAACTTTAGTCTGTTTCTGGCAAAGTGAATGTTGCAATTGGCCAGCTTGATTAGCACCAAATAGCCTTGCAGCTTCAAAGCCTGGCTGCTTCCTGCCTGGGGGAATCCTTTGTTGGGAGATGTTAGCTGGTCCTGATTCATCAAGTTGATGAAGAAACACAACATGCAAACTATCTACAGACCCACTAAGAAAATCCAACAAATGATATGTTCAGCAAAGGACAAGAGGGATCCTATCATCTCTGCAGGACTCAACCATATACCATGCAGCTGTAGACAAGTCTACATAGGGACCACCAAATGCAGCATTGCCCAAACATGATTCAAGGAACATGAAAGGCACTGCAGACTAACTCAACCAGAGAAGTCAGCCATAGCAGAACACCTGATGAACCAACCTGGACACAGCATATTATTTGAGAATACAGAAATGCTGGACCACTCTAACAAGCACCATGACATACTGCACAGAGGAGTCATTTAAATCCACAAGCATGTGGACAATTTCAATAGAAAGGGGAAAACCATGAAAATGAACAAAATCTGGCTACCAGCATTTAAAAAACCTCTAAAATCAGGACAGTAAATAAAGAACAACATCTAGAAAACAGGGGAATTCCATACAAGAAACAATTAGGGCCAGCTATCATTTTCCAACAAAGGATTCCCCCAGGCAGGAAGCAGCCAGGTTTTGAAGCTGCAAGGCTATTCAGTGCTAATTAAGCTGGCCAATTGCAACATTCACACTTGCCTCAAACAGACAACAGTTCTTTCTCCCACCCTGGACATTCCACAGGTATATAAACCTCACTTGCCTAGTTTCCAACAGACCTCACAACCTGCTTTAAATGTGGACAAAATGTTAGGAGAAAATGCTTCTGGAACATGGCCATACAGCCAAGAAAATTCACAGCAACCCAGTGATTCCGGCTGTGAAAGCCTTCGACAACATGCTGATAAGTTGATTAACTTATCAACACAGATGTAAATTTGACCTGGGCAGCTTTATCCAGTGAAATTGTAAGCCTTAATGGTGACATTCATTAGCTTTCATGATTGCGTACATTAATGTAACAATGACATCAGGAGAAGTAACGGTCTTTTCTTCTCTGTGATGCAAGTGGTTCGGATTACAATCGCATGGGGCTGGATTAACTCCAGGTCACTCTGGGTGTCCAGGTTCAAGATCCCTTCTTTCTCTTTTGTAGCCACAAGCCTCAGCCCTGGCTCTGGCTCTGGTCCCTTCTGGAGGGAGTCCCAGCCAGGCACCACTTAACCCTCTTTACTTTGTGACATTCCAAAAGTGCTTAAATCTCTTGCTTCTCACAAATTAGAATTTCCCTACCTTTCTTTGTCAGGACTCAGTGTTTGGCCAACCTGCCAGCAAGAGGCCAGGAGGAGGGAACAGTGCTTCATGGAGGATTGATGATGAAAAGACTGCATCCATAATTTTGGTGATTAATTAATGGTGCAATGGAGTAGCTGTCTCTATGGAAATTTATCCTGCCCAAGCTTGGAGAATTGCATTTTATTTTAGAGAACAAAGTTGTCATCCACAAAGTTTTCCAAGCTGTGCATTTCTCTCTCTCTCTGTCTCTCTCTAAAAGCAAATCTCTAAAGCAGTGTTTCTCAACCGTTCTAATGTCGTGACCCCTCCATACAGTTCCTCATGATGTGATGACCCCCAACCATAAAATTGTTTTCGTTGCTACTTCATAACTGTAATTTTGCTACTGTTATGAATTGTAATGTAAATATCGGATATGCGGGATGTATTTTCATTCACTGGACCCACTTTGGCACAAATACCCGATACACCCAAATTTGAATACTGATGGGGTTGGAGGGGGGTTGATTTTGCCATTTGGGAGTTGTAGTTGCTGAGATTTATAGTTCACCTACAATCAAAGAACATTTTGGACTCCACCAGTGATGGAATTGAACTAAAGTTTTCACACAGAACTCTTATGAACAACAGAAAATACTGGAAGGGTTTGAAGGGCACTGATCTTGAGTTTTGGAATTGTAGTTCACCTGTATCCAAACAGCACTGTCGACTCAAACAATGATAGATCTCGACCAAACTTGGCATGAATACTCAATATGCCCAAATGTGAACAATAGTGGAGTTTGGAGGAGTAGACCTTGACATTTGGGAGTTTTGTTGCTGGGCTTTATAGCTCACCTACAATCAAAGACCAGTCTGAACCCCATCAACAATCGAATTGGGCCAAACTTCCCACTCAGAACCACCCTCCACGCTCTCCCTTGCCCGCACACGTGCACCACTGCCATGTGCCAAGCACACCTGCTCTCCCCTTTCTGCTTGGCATCTCAGAAACAGTCCTCCCCTTGGCTGAGAAACCAGCTGAGAGGCTGGCCATTCACAGTGGAGGCTATCTTTTGGTGAAAGGATTCACCATCTGTTTACAAAAAAGAAGAGGAGGACAGACGGAGAGATCTTCAGACTTCTCTCCCAAAGGGATTCCTGAGACCATCAGAAATATATGTTTTCTGATGGTCTTTGGTGACCCCTCTGAAACTCCCCCAGGTTCCGACCCCCAGGTTGAGAAACGCTGATCTAAAACCTGAGACCTAAGGAAGGCCTTTGGTGATGCCATTATGTGTCATTGCTCAGAGTTTGTCATTCAAGTGTTCACATACAGACTGGGAGAGGAATACACCCTTCTGTTTGGAAATTTAAGAAAGAAATCTTAATGAATGGGCCAGTTCTCAGGATCAAAGTGAGGGGATTATTTTGTCTCGGCTACTAATGGAGATGGGATAAGGAACATTTAATCCTGTGTCCTTATTTCTAGCTAGAATGTGGATACAGAGCAGAGTGGAGGGTGAGCCCTGGTGTTTTAACAACTGGTAAGAAAGGAGGAACCTAAGTAAATACATTGATCCCCGGAACCTTTTCATTTGGAGCCAGAAATGAATTAACCCTTGCAAACTATAACAAGTTACCACTCTGGAGATTTGTTGCTAACCCTTTCCTTTTGTCTGGAGGTGAGCCCCCCAGAACTAGAGAATTTGCACTCTTGTCTTTCACCTGGAGATAATCCATGAAAACTGAGCCTTGCGATCTGGCAACCACAATCGGCAGACCTACACTGCCTAAAATGTCAGCAGCATCTATGTTTTGGAGAAGAAGGAAATACAGTAAAAAAGATTACTACTTGAGTGGGAATTGGCTGTTTTGATCCATTGCCTTTCCACACCTATGAGGATTGTTGATGAGTGACAAAAGTCCTTGATCAGCTCTTTCATCGTGTAATCCTCTTGAGCCATGCTCTTTTTCTATTTGCTTTTTTTTCTGGAGTGCTATCAGAATTTCAAAAGGAACCAGTTCTCTCTGCTACATTATTTTTTATTCAGAGGCATGGCTATATGCTTTTGGCTATGAACAGTGGGTAGCAGCCTCTATAGAGAATGATATCTTCACACAAGGGAACTTGGGCACTGGACAGGGAGGACAGCAGCTATAAAATAACACATTTCCCAAATCCATATTAGTCTAATATTGTTATTAGGCCAAAAAAAAAAAAGATTGCTAAAAGAAGTGCTAGTTTTTTAAAACCTCAAAATCTTTTCATTAGCAACAGATTAGCAAAAGTGAGGGAAAGAGGAAGGAAAGGGGGGGGGGGAGACTTGATGTTAATCTTGATATTGATGAACAGATCTAGGCAGCTCAAAAGCTTTCATAGACTTTTGGTTGATCTAATAAAGGGATGTACAGGTGTATGTATATTTGAATACTGCCTTTTCCCTCTTGTCTTTGGGGTCAAAGAAGTTAATGACAATATCAGATAAAGCAGCATTTCTCAACCTGGGGGTTGGGACCCCTGAGAAGTCACGAGTGGGGTGTCAGTGGGGTTGCCAAAGACCATCAGAAAACACAGTATTTTCCTTTTGGTCATGGGGTTTATGTGTGGGAAGTTTGGCCCAATTCTATTGCTGGTTGGGTTCACAATGCTCTTTGATTGTAGGTGAACTATAAATCCCAGAAACTACAACTCCCAAAAGTCTATTTTCCCCAAACTCCATCAGTGTTCACATTTGGGCATACTGAGTGCCAAGTTTGGTCCAGATCGATCATTGTTTGAGTCCACAGTGCTCTCTGGATGTAGGTGAACTCCCAAGCTCAAGGTCAATTTCCACCAGACCCTTCCAGTATTTTTTGTTGGTCATGGGAGTTCTGTGTGCCAAGTTTTGTTCAATTCCATCGTTGGTGGAGTTCAGAATGCTCTTTAACTGTAGGTGAACTATAAATCTCAGTAACTACAACTCCCAAATGACAAAATCAATCACTTCCCTAACCTCACTATTATTCATATTTAGGCATATTAGATTGTGCCAAATTTCATCCAGTGAGTGAAAATACATCCTGCATATCAAATATTTACATTACGGTACATAACAGTAGTAAAATTATAGTTATGAAGTAGCAACAAAAATAAATTTGTGGTTGGGGGTCACCACAAAATGAGGAATTGTATTAAGGGGTTGCAGCATTAGGAAGGTTGAGAACCACTGAGATAAAGCAATATGATGAAAACATTAGACACATGACAAACAATTTAAATTAAACATTAAATATATCTTCTGCAACAATCGAGCCTAATAGCTGGGCTATTTATCCACCAGTACCTACCCACCCAATGTCTATCATCAGCCCTAACATGGATTTTAATAGCATTTTGAAATTTGCTAATGTTAAAAGGTAATATTATTAAAATCGATAACAACCTTTGTTCTCTGAGGAACCAGCGTGGTGTAGTGGTTTGAGCACTAAATTATAACTCTGGAGAGCAGGGTTTGAATTCCTGCTCAGCCATGAAACACACTGGGTGACTGTGGGCAAGTCACACTCTCTCAACCTCAGAGGGAGGTAATGGAAAACCTCTTTGAAACAAATCCCACCAAGAAAACACTGTGATAGGATCACCTTAGGTAGGAAAATGACTCAAAAGACATTCAATGAATGTTTACTTACTAGATTAGTGAAATCTACTGAAACGTCACATACCTTTGCCATTCAACATTTACTCCCCATGCAGTGCTTTTCTTTCAATAGATGCCCAAGCTCTTATCTTTCTACTCACTCTGCTGGGGAAGTCCAGTTTTCTATCCTTGTTCTTCAGTCTCTCTGTTTCAGCTTCTCAGATTGGTTCTGAGTGTCTTGCATTGAATCTGCTTCTGCTTTCTTCAAACCAGTGGGGTGTGCAGGCATATATTAATTGTCCCTCTTGGGAGTCCCATCTCTTTCCGTACTGGAAGATGACATGCCTTATTTTTCATGCCTCAAATGGGGACTCTTTCCTCCCTCCTTGCTTCCTAGAAATGTGCTAGGAAAAGTTGCACCTGCTGAAATTCTCCTTCTGCACACTACAGTAGAGTCTTGCTTATCTAACCTTCGCTCATCCAACGTTCTATATTATCCAAAGCAGTTTGCCACCTGCCCAGATCCACATTGCAATGTTTTGGTGCTAAAATCATAAATACAGTAATTACTACAGAATGTTACTGCTTTTTCTGTCGATTTGTTGCAAAACATGATGTTTTGGTCCTTAATATGTAAAATCATAACGTAATTTGACGTTTAATAGGCTTTTTCTTAATCCCTCCTTATTATCCAACATTGTTGCTTATCCAACATTCTGCCAGCCCATTTATGTTGGATAAGCAAGACTGTACTGTATTTCATCGCCCACTGAATGTAAGAACTCTGAGAAGGACTTCTAATCTCCTTCTCCAAATTTCCTTTGGGACCCCATTAGAAAAAAATACCCTTCTCTCCACTTCATCACATTTCATTCTTTCTCCCACACACAAACCTCCATGAATGGCAGTGCTACTCACTCGATAGGGAAGAGATGGGCAAGGTACTGCCTGGCCTCCTTCGGGTCTTCTTCACCATCCAGCAGCAACGCCCGGGAAGCAATGAGTAGGTCCCTTACCCTGCTTGTCTCCAATACCAAGGGGAAAGAAAGCAGGAGGAACTCTGCAAGTTGCACTGTACAGATCTCTACTGTGACTCTGCTTCATTTCCTTTAGCTACTTCTCTCTCCGCATTTCTCTGCATCTCTCCATCTCGCCCTCCCCAGCCAACATCTGTTTTGCTACTTCCTTCTCCCTCTCCTCTCTTGATCTCCCTCTCTCTCTCAACTCTCTAGATTTCTGCACTCCCTCTCCTGCTTTTGCAATGCCAAGCCTATTGATCTTTTGATTTTTTTAAAACTTGAGGTTGCATATTAACTCTGCTATGGCCAGATCTGTTTAAACAGATCTCTATCTATCTATCTATCTATCTATCTATCTATCTATCTATCTATCTATCTATCATCTACTAACGATCTTTACATATATTCCATAGGAATGTAGAGTGGCAACAAAATCATTTTAGAGCTGTATCTGAAGAATAAAGCAGACCGATCTGATGGCTAGGAAAAAGCAGCGCGTAGTGCCTCCCCTGTTCCAAATCTGTGAGCAACTGGCACACAATGAATTTTCAAGGGATTTATGCATTTTTACACCTTTGTATTTCTCAATTGACTTGAGGAGGCATACGTTGTTCTGTTCCTTTTCATTATGATCACATGGCAGCCGTATAAAATAGGAAATGCTGAGAGAGATTGACTGGTCTTAGCCCACCAAGTGAGTTTCAGGGCTGCATGAGACTTCAGCTGCATGGGACGTCCACAAATCCTAGCTTAGTGCTCTAATCACTATACCACACTGGAAATGTGATTCCTTCTTATTATGTGCTAAAAGTCCAGTTCTATGCAGAACAGTGAAGCGGGTCTTGGCATTACAGACTTGGCATTGGCACAAGCAGGCTTGCAAGGGTTTCCATGAATGACTATGGCAGCCAGGGCCCTTCCACACAGCCATATAACCCAGAAAAAGATCAAGGTTTCTCTGACATTAAGTCCATTTGTGTCCAACTCTGGGTGTTGGTGCTCATCTCCATTTCTAGGCCGAAGAGCCGGCATTGTCTGTAAACATCTCTAAGCTCATGTGACCGGCATGACTGCATGGAGTGCTGTTACCTTCCCACCAGAGCAGTACCTATTGATCTACTCACATTTGCATGCTTTCGAACTGCTAGGTTAGCAGAATCTTGGGCTAACAGCGGGAGTTCACCCCACTCTCCAGATTAGAACTGGCGAACTTTTGGTCAGCAAGTTCAGCAGCTCAGCTGTTTAACCCACTGCACCACCAGGGGCTCAATATAACCCAGAATATCAAGGCAGAAAATCCCACAATATCTGCTTTGAACTGGATTGTTTGAGTCCACTCTACCATATATTGTAGTTCAAAGCACAACATGTGGGATTTTATTCAGCTGTGTGGAAGGGGCCCCAGTGTGATGTAGAGGCTTGAGAATCAGATGATGACACTGGAGACCAGGGTTTGAATCCCCACTCAGCCCTGAAGCCTACTGACTTCAGACAAGTCACATCCTCTCAACCTCAGAAGAAGGCAAAGACAACTCCCTCCCAAACAAATCTTGTCAAGAAAACCCTGTGATAGGCTTGCCATAAGTCAGAAACAAATTAAAGGTACATAGCAACACAATGTGTGTGCCTAATTCTAATGGTTAATTCCTGAGGGATTCACAAGACACAGGACAGTACATGTCCTCTCCACAAGGTGATCAGACTGCAATTTCCAGCATTCTCTATTATCTGCTATGTTGGCGAGGCCACTGGGGGTATCATTTCATCAACATTTAGAGAACCACACATTTTTCTCACTGATATAGAGCTAGGATTCAGAATTGTTGAAGATAGGCTCTGGGGTAGAAATATAATACTTTCCATTTGGAGGTTCTCAGGTTAACTCCATGGCTTTGGGGAATTTAGTTGAAAAGGAATATCAGGACACATTATGTAATATATTAAGTGGAAGAGCAGTGGGTTTCCAACCTGCTAAAAGGGATCATATTTCCTTGTGACACAAAATTGCAATGTGAATGCTGACTAAATATACTGATTCTATGGGCACATCTGCACTTTAGGATAAATGTAGTTTGATACCACTTAAACTGCCTAGCTCTGTTTTATTTCTTCTGAAATTCATGAGCTACTTGTGTAAAAATACTGTGCATACCTACTTGCAGGTGTCAGAATGCATATTGGTCTTCTTCTTTGTGTTGTCAAAGGCTTTCATGGCCGGAATCACTGGGTTGCTATGAGTTTTCCGGGCTGTATGGCCATGTTCCAGAAGCATTCTCTCCTGACGTTTCACCCACATCTATGGTAGGCAGCCTCATAGGTTGTGAGATCCTTACAACCTCTGAGGCTGCCTGCCATAGATGTGGGTGAAACGTCAGGAGAGAATGCTTCTGGAACATGGCCATACAGCCCGGAAAACTCACAGAAACCCTGTCTTGTTCTTGTCATTCCTAAAGGTGAAAAGTGCTTAAAAAATCCCACCCAAAAAAGTTTACAAGAAGTTTATCCCTTGAGGATATAAAGAATTGCTACACTGTATCAGACGAGTCGGTCAAATCAATCATATTCAGAATCAACCCATTGGGATTTATAAGTCCCATTGATTCTACTCTAAGCAAATCTGGATACAAATCAATTGTCAGATGTTCCCTTATTTACATTCAATTCACTCTGATATCATGGTTTCCCAGGTTCTTAACTAGAAGGAGAAAGCCTTGAGAGCCTGTAATAGGTCTGTCTTAAGTCAAGAAGGACATGAAAGCACCAAACAATAGCAGCAGCAAGTGATATAATCGTACGACATCTTATACCTCCATGAAAGTTAATCTGACATCATGGACATTATATTTTCATCAGATTGGCTGTGACCAACATGGTACCCTCCAGATGTTTTAAAACTAGAAGTGCATAAGCAATACATCTGCTTTCCAAAATACACTTTTCCCAGCCAAAAGAGGGGACAGGACAATGCTAGCAGATTATAATTCAAGAGCAGCAGCGGCAATGAGAGAGCCAGCATACTGTTCCGGCCCAGCTTATCTGTCCGAACGTATCTCTCCTTATGAACCATCTAGGACTCTAAGATCATCTGGGGAGGCCCTGCTTTCGGTCCTGCCTTCTTTGCAGATTCGTTTGGCGGGGACGAGAGACTGGGCCTTCTCAGTGGTGGCCTCTTGGTTGTGGAACGCCCTCCCTTGGGATATTAGATTGGCCCCCTCCCGCCTAACATTTCGTAAAAAATTTAAAACATGGCTTTTTGAGAAAGCATTTGCAAATGCAGTGTAACAGGCAAATATAGATCTACGGAATGACTGGGCAACATGAATTGGAAAATGATCTTAGTAAGGAGACACTGAGGATTTATGTTTTTATTGGTTTTGTATGGTTTATATATTATTTGCCAAATGTTTTTAAATTGTATTTTATGTTGTTGGGGGCATTGAATTGTGCCGACTGGAAACCACCTTGAGTCGCCTTCAGGCTGAGAAAGGTGGTATATAAATACAGTAAATAAATGAATGAATAAATAATACTGTAGTGGTTTAAGTGTTGCACTCTGGGTGCATCTATACTGCAAGTTTAATGCAGTTTGGTACTACTTAACTACCATAGCTCAATATAATAGGATTAAGGAAGTTGTATTTTGGTAAGGCATTGCACTCTTTGGGAGAGAAGGCTCAAGACTTTAAAAAATACAACTCCCATGATTCCATACCAATGAAACATGACAGATTAAAGTGGTCTCAAACTGCATTAATGCTATTGTGTAGCTGCACCCACTGACTCTGGAGACCTACTGGGTGACTTTGGAGAAGTCACACACTCTCTCAGCCTCAGAGGAAGGCAAAGGCAGTGAGAAAGCCAGCATACTGTAGTGGTTTAAGTATTACACTCTGGGTGCATCTGTACTGCAGATTTAATGCAGTTTGGCACTACTTTACTTCTATAGTTCAATGCAATGGGATCATYGAAGCTGTATTTTGGTAAGGCACGACACTCTTTGGCAGAGAGAAGGCTCAAGACTTTTAAAAATATAACTCCCATGATTCTATACCAATGAGACATGACAGATTAAAGTGGTGTCGAACTGCATTAATTCTATGGTGTAGCTGCACCCTCTGATTCTGGAGACCCACCTTGGAGAAGTCACACTCTCTCAGCCTCAGAGGAAGGCAAAGGCAACCTCCTGCTGAACAAATCTTGCCAAGTAAACCTTGTATAATGTTTGCATTTGGATCCCCATAACTCAGATATTTCTTACAGGAACACATCAACGGTGGTTACAAGGAGGTACATGGGCAAAAAGTGGTGATAGTGCAGGAGCACTTCTTTATCTTGCAGGAGTTTTGACTTTTTCTATTCTCCTATGTTGTATTTCCGCCAAAATGTTGTAGAAATTGGATGTGGCTTACTCATACATGTATGCTTTGGCTGCCCTTGGTTGCCAGGGGAAGACAAAGGAGCCATTTCCATCCACTCCATCTTCACAGTACTGCTCCACCTCAGTTCCCTTTCTTTCAAAGATGCGATGCCCTGAATAGGTAATCTGCTTTCCTTGAATAGATGCCCGGCAGCCACACCTGTTTAGTGACGCCAACTTCTAAGTGCTCTAAACAACATGTTGCCAGCAGAATGGAATAAAGTTAGCAATTTGCAAAATCCAGATTTTGAATAAAGAAGGATACAAAACATCCTTTTTTCTGAAGGTTATCATGGAGCCCGAGTGCGGCGGGGAGCCCCGCCTTCACATTGGTGTGAACCGCAGCGGAGAGTTCCGCAGTTCCTGGATCAAGTTTTGGGGACCAACAGATGAAATGTGCCCCAGCAGCCAACTCAAAACCAGGAATGCCTGCAGCCTTTCTTATAAACCTCTTTCCGGGCTCCGGAGAGCCGTGAGCCCGCGGGAGGCGCCTCCGGGCGCCCCCCGGACCCCGAATCTGCGTTCGCCTAGACCGCGGATACGGAAACCGCCATTTCAGACCCCCTTATCCGCGAGAAATCATAAAATGGTGGATCGCCGCCGTTCCAATTTTATATTTTTCTGCAACTAATCCTAAGCCTATCTGCCATCTCCCTTTTCTCATTTTGGGCTCCTTCACCCAGGAATAAATTGTTTTTGTTTCAAGTATTTTACTTTGACAGAAGTCAGCTGTTTGTCAATTTGGCCGGTTTCTTTCAAGATAGCCCGTTTCTCCTCAGCGCTGCTCGCTCCTGCCTGGATCCAGCAACCGGGGACCCACTGTGGTCACCCACAGGAGTCCCCGGGGAGGCAGCCAGGCGTGGGTCCCGACCTCTGACCAGGGAGATATAGTCTTCC